TGATTGTCAGTGTTATGAATGTGCGTTGATGTAGCGCAGATGACAGATGATTGTCAGTGTTATGAATGTGCGTTGATGTAGCACAGATGATTGTCAGTGTTATGAATGAGCGTTGATGTAGTGCAGATGATGACAGATGATTGTCAGTGTTATGAATGTGCGTTGATGTAGCGCAGATGATGACAGATGATTGTCAGTGCTATGAATGTGCGTTGATGTAGTGCAGATGATGACAGATGATTGTCAGTGTTATGAATTATGCGTTGATGTAGCGCAGATGATGACAGATGATTGTCAGTGTTATGAATGTGCGTTGATGTAGCGCAGATGATGACAGATGATTGTCAGTGTTATGAATGTGCGTTGATGTAGTGCAGATGATGACAGATGATTGTCAGTGTTATGAATGTGCGTTGATGTAGCGCAGATGATGACAGATGATTGTCAGTGTTATGAATGTGCGTTGATGTAGTGCAGATGATGACAGATGATTGTCAGTGTTATGAATGTGCGTTGATGTAGTGCAGATGATGACAGATGATTGTCAGTGTTATGAATGTGCGTTGATGTAGCGCAGATGATGACAGATGATTGTCAGTGTTATGAATGTGCGTTGATGTAGTGCAGATGATGACAAATGATTGTCAGTGTTTGAATGTGCGTTGATGTAGTGCAGATGATGACAGATGATTGTCAGTGTTATGAATGTGCGTTGATGTAGTGCAGATGATGAGAGATGATTGTCAGTGTTATGAATGTGCATTGATGTAGCGCAGATGATGACAGATGATTGTCAGTGTTATGAATGTGCGTTGATGTAGCGCAGATGATGACAGATGATTGTCAGTGTTATGAATGTGCATTGATGTAGTGCAGATGATGAGAGATGATTGTCAGTGTTATGAATGAGCGTTGATGTAGTGCAGATGATGAGAGATGATTGTCAGTGTTATGAATGTGCGTTGATGTAGTGCAGATGATGACAGAATGATTGTCAGTGTTATGAATGGCGTTGATGTAGCGCAGATGATGACAGATGATTGTCAGTGTTATGAATGTGCATTGATGTAGCGCAGATGATGACAGATGATTGTCAGTGTTATGAATATGTGTTGATGTAGTGCAGATGATGACAGATGATTGTCAGTGTTATGAATGTGCATTGATGTAGCGCAGATGACAGATGATTGTCAGTGTTATGAATGTGCGTTGATGTAGTGAAGATGATGACAGATGATTGTCAGTGTTATGAATGTGCGTTGATGTAGCACAGGTGATGAGAGATGATTGTCAGTGTTATGAATGTGCATTGATGTAGCGCAGATGATGAGAGATGATTGTCAGTGTTATGAATGTGCGTTGATGTAGTGCAGATGATGACAGATGATTGTCAGTGTTATGAATGTGCGTTGATGTAGTGCAGATGATGACAGATGATTGTCAGTGTTATGAATGTGCGTTGATGTAGCGCAGATGATGACAGATGATTGTCAGTGTTATGAATGTGCGTTGATGTAGTGCAGATGATGACAGATGATTGTCAGTGTTATGAATGTGCGTTGATGTAGTGCAGATGATGACAGCACAACTTCGTAATCTTATTCACAATAAATTAAAGAGAGAAGCAGACATGGTGCACCAGCTTGATGTATCCCCAGCTACAGGAGCTATTAATAGATCTCCACTTAGGTTTCTACAGAATGGTCGAGACACACCTGAGCAAAACCAGCAGCCTGGTGAAGCAAGAGGTGTGTCAAGTTTGTCTCAGGGTGAGTCTGCTTCATTGGCACTTGAGTTAGCCAGACTCAATCTTGAACAAACTAAAGAGCAGCATGCTTTTGCTAGGGAGGAATTTGATAGAGAGAAGGAGAGGAGGCAATTCAAACAGACTACAGAGGACTTCAGTTTGCAAAGGGCAATACAGTTTGTTCCTTGTTTCCTCGAGGCCGAGCTGAAACAGTTTTTCGAAGCTTTCAAAAACCAAGCTCGAGCCTTGGGGTGGCCTGAACAGCATTGGGCGTCATTGATTCACACAGTGTTGTTTGGCGAGGCACAGGAGTTTACATCAGTGTTAAATGGCACTGAATTTAGCAACATTTCGGTAGTGAAAACCACGGTTCTTGATGCATATCAATGTGTTCCTGCTAAGTACAGAAAAGCTTCTAAAGTCAGTAATCGACAGCTGGGTAAGTCTTACATTAACTTTGAAAGGCAACAGAATAAAATATTTACCAAGTGGTACAAGGCCAGTGGGGTCACCAACTTTGGGGAGTTAGTCCAACTCATACTGGTGGATAACCTGCTGGAATCTGTTGGACCAGAGGTTCGAGTCTCTGCAGGATCACATGTTGACCACTGCATTGGAGGCAGCCAGGTTGGCTGATACTTTTGAAACAAACCACTCCTTGTCCGAGCGGTCCCATCTCTATTCAACAGCCTGGCATGAGCAGAGACCATCAACGAAAAGTTTCCAAGTGGAGAATGAAGTGCAAGCAGGAAGAAAAACAACGATGTCAGCCAACTAAGTCACCTGGAGAGCCATGCTATCAACTTATGGTCAACCTGGTGAGCGACAAACCACTCAACATGGTGTATCCCGACAACAGTACCCAGAGCGGCACCAGTCACAACTTCAGCAGGGAGCTAAGGTCAAGCCTGTCGTTTGCTTTTATTGTAATAAATCCGGCCACATTCACACAAATTGCCCAAATAAACCCGAACCATTAGGGAAAATTTATAATGTCCCAAGTAACATGACCTTGAAAGAAGTAGAGAAAGGGATGGCCTCTTATTATTGTAAGAGTCATATATCCCTTCAGGAAAACTCAAAGAAAACTGTCAGAATTTTTAGGGATACTGGAGCATATTGCTCACTTATAAGAGGGGGAGTACTTCCTTTTTCTGAACACACTTCATTACAATCCTTTGTTCTGTTAGAAGCTTTTGGAGGAGCAATTTTTTCTGTCCCCTTGCATAAAATATATATAGAGTGCAGATATTACACTGCATATTTGACTGTAGGTGTATGTGGGGGATTTCCTATGAAAGATGCCATGTTATTACTGGGTAATAACATTACCACTTCTAGTAGATGTCCCAAACCAATAATGATTAATTATTCTCTGATATTGGCCATAACTCGGGCAAAATCCCAAGGGATATCTGGCGAGAATGCTAGCGTATCCTTGGATGACTCTGATCTCGGAACAGCCAATTTGTTTTACAAGGAAAATTGGCCAGAGCCTCATAAATTTAGTGAGCAGACGCAGATGAAGCCTTCCTAATCCAGGGTTGTAGGATTGCAGGACCCTTCATTGAATTTCGCTTTTCAGGCAGTCATGGGTAAATCCTTTTCAGATCACCCGGTCAAATATAAACTCAAAAACAACTATTTGATCTGCACTGAGACTGGTAAGGAGACAGAGGGTAGGCAAAAGTCAGACAGGTTAGTGATTCCAACTTCCTCCACCAATGCGTGTCCCTACTACCCTCCCTCCGACCCCCACAACTGGCAGCCAGCCCTCCCACCACTGTGTGGTGAGTGTTTTGTTTGTTCATTATTTGCTATTAAACTACAGTATAAATAATGTAAACCCATTCATGACTGCATATTGGAATGGCTATTCGGACAGGTATTAGACGGTGACATCATGTGTTTACTCTTGAACACTGCAAAGAATTAAACATTTCTGCTACAGCTAATAATAACAATAGTAATAATAATAATAATAATAATAATAATAATAATAATAATAATAATAATAATAATAATAATAAATATGATATAATTGAAGAAGGAAATTGTACAAAAATACGAGGGAGTGGTTGACACATCGTCAGTGTGACTTTGTTTATGTTGGAGTGAACATTAGTTTCCCTGCTCTTCCAAACATTTCACAATAATTCATTGTGTTTGGTGCTTGTAGATTGAGTGTGACTGTAGTAGAGGCAGTGATTGAGGCAATGGTATTTAATAACATACATGTTAATAAAAATACATGTTATTAATAATATGTACTATTATTATTTATAACATATATGTTATTAAATACCACTTCCTCAACCGCTGAATTATTGTGAAATGTTTGGAAGAGCAGGGAAACTAATGTTCACTCCAGCATCAACAAAGTCACAATGATGATGTGTCAACCACTCCCTCGTATTTTTGTACAATTTCCTTCTTCAATTATATCGTATTTATTATTATTATTATTATTATTATTATTATTATTATTGTTATTATCAGCAATAGCAGAAATGTTTGATTCATTGCAGTGTTCAAGAGTAAACACATGATGTCACCGTCTAATACCTTTCCTAATAGCCATTCCAATATGCAGTCATGAATGGGTTTACATTATTTATTCTGTAGTTTAATAGCAAATAATAAACAAACAAAACACTCACCACACAGTGGTGGGAGGGCTGGCTGCCAGTTGTGGGGGTTAGAGGGAGGGTAGTAGGGACACGCAGTGGTGGAGGCATTGGTGGAGGCAGTGGTGGAGGCATTGGTGGAGGCAGTGGTGGAGTCTGTGGTATTTAATAACATACATGTTATTAACATACATGTTATTAAATAACATACGTTATTAAAGCATAACATGTATATATTTAGTACAATTTACGACGTTTTCATGTATTTTATGATTGTTCATGGTTCAACAAGTTAAGGAAGCAATATTGTAATATATTTCCCTACAATATATTGGGGCACCAAACATTCACGGTTTTTCAACATTCGCGAGGCTCTTGATTCCCTAACCCTCGCAAATGTTGAGGGAGACCTGTATTGGCTATTAAAAGAATTTTATTGGCCAAAATTAAGGAAGGATGTGAAGAATCATATCTGCTGTTGCCGAGAATGTCAGTAAGTAGGGAAACCTGAACATTCCATTAGGATAAAATAAAGATTTATTAAAAACTTAACCACACTTATTTTGTCTAGGCTTAAGTAGTTATTATGTTTTAGGATAAGTCTGGGTGAAATGCCCTGGCAGGATAGTGGCTTTCTTTGTACTTAACTAATCAAAATTGTAAATACACATTGTAACCTTGCAAAGAAATAAAATCTTCATCTTTTATCTTTTTTATTAGTGATGGTTGAGTATAGTTGAATTTAATAGTGATAGTTTTGTGTAGTTTATGATAGCTCCTCTAGTAAAAATTTACATGAAAATACTGGAAAAGACATGAATATAGCTAACTGCAATGATATATACAATACTACACAAGTGTATGAAAAGTAACAAAATACTGCAGAGCCCCTGTATCCACAGATTCGGTATCTGTGGTTTCAGTTATCCACGGTCTACTGTGGCCCAAAAATAACCATTAATTTTGCTTAACAATGACCCCAAACTGCAAAAGTAGTGATGGTGGTAGTTCTTCAAAGACTAAGAGAAGCTGTGAAATGCTTCCCATCAGTGAAAAAGTGCTAATTCTAGACATTTTGCTTAATTTATCAATTAAACTTTACCATAGGTATGTATGTAAACAAAAAATGATTTGTATATAATAATAATAATGATAAAATTTTTTACTTCAGCATGATACAGCATGTTACAAATAAGAATGACATTTGGGTGTACACGCAGAAAGCCCCTGTATATGCAGAGCATTTTGGGCAAACTTAAGATTAAGAGGGAAATAACAATTAGGTGTACTATACATGATTTCAGGTACCCATGGATTGCTGTACTACAATATAAGAAAATGTAAAGACAATTACGAAAATTGACAAGTTGAGGGAAGAACAGAAGACTAGTGGACTGACTTGTTATAGACTACATGACACAAGACACAGCCAAGAAAATAAATAAATAAATTAGTTGAAATACATGTAGAAAGGCTGGAAGGAAATAGAATGACTTCGAGAGTGTATAAATCTGTTGTGGAGGGAAGGTGTGGTAGGGGTCGGCCTAGGAAAGGTTGGAGGGAGGAGGTAAAGGTGGTTTTTTGTGTGTGGGGATTGGACTTCTAGCAAGCATGCATGAGCATGTGATAGGAATGAAGGAGACAAATGGTTTTAAAGACTTGACGTGCTGTTGGAGTGTGAGCAAGGTAACATTTATGAAGGGGTTCAGGGAAACCGGCAGGCCGGACTTGAGTCCTGGAGATGGGAAGTACAGTGTCTACACTCTGAAGCAGAGGTGTTAAAGTTGACTTTCATTGTTTGACTTAACTAATATTGTAATACAGGTAAATAAGTGATGATCTGTGGTTGTGATTTACTGAACATAATACATGAACATTTTATGTATAAACTTAATTTAAGTCATAATAAATGACTGTCAATAAATGAAGAGAAAGCAGCAGAACTGTTAATCTGGAGACCACAGTTCAAGCCTCCATCCACCTTCCTCTTTATTCACTTTATGTATGAGTTCACAGCATGTTAATCTTTGACTCACGACTCACAAAACTGTAATAAGTTTATTTGAAACAAACCAGGGAATGGGTGAACTCAAACCTATGGCAATGGGTTCAAACCTTGACCATTCCCTGGTTTATTCTACCATAGTGCTGGTTTTTACGATGTTAATGTATACAATATGTCTCCACGGAAACTCATTTATCTCGGCTATCGTTGTCATGTTTTACACACTGTTGTTGTCAGGTTTTACACACTGTTGTTGTTGTTGTCAGGTCTTACACACTGTTGTTGGTATCAGGTTTTACACACTGTTGTTGTTGTCAGGTCTTACACACTGTTGTTGGTATCAGGTTTTACACACTGTTGTTGTCAGGTTTTACACACTGTTGTTATTGTCAAGTTTTATACACTGTTGTTGTCAGGTTTTACACACTGTTGTTGTCAGGTTTTACACACTGTTGTTGTCAGGTGTTACACACTGTTGTCAGCAATTTTACAAAGTGATTCTTTCCTAAAATCTTTCAGATCCTGAATATTATTATGTTTTGTTTCTTGTGAGTGAATGTTCATGTGGTACAATAAATTAGTCTTGTACACAAAGCCTTTAAGACATTTATAACATTGAAATGGCTTTTCAGTCACTCTTTTTTTACTAAGGACTTTTTTGCTATGAATTTTCATGTGCGTTGTTAAGTAATTTTTTATTTTAAAACTTTTGGAACACACAGGGCAAATATGGTGTTTATCTTGGGTGTGTGATACCATGTGTTCTGTTAGTTTAGATTTTAAAACAAAGTCTTTAAGGCATTCAGAACACCTGTATGGTTTAAGTCCCGTGTGGAGTTTCTCGTGTCTAACAAGATTGGATTTTATTGCAAACATTTTTGAACACACCGAACATTGGTATGGTTTTTCCCCAGTGTGAACTTTCCTGTGTGTTGTCAGTTGACCAGATTGTTTGAAGCTTTTTTCACACATTGAGCACTGGTAGGGCTTTTCTCCTGTGTGAATCCTCATATGCTTGCTAAGAGAAGTACTGTGTGTGAAGCCTTTTAGACATACCTGGCAGCGGTATGAGGCTTCCCCAGTATGTATGATTGAATGTTGACTGAGAGAACTTTTATCTTTGAAGTTCTTTAAACACACAGAGCACTCATACGGCTTCTCTCCTGTATGAACTATGAGGTGCCTCTTCAAGCTGCTCTTTCCTGAAAATAATTTCAGACACACACGACACTGAAACCGTTTCTCTTTCAAATGAAACTTCTGATGTTCTGTCAGTCTACCCTTCGCCTTAAAGAACTTCAGACACTCAGAACATTGGTAAGGTCTCTCCTCTGAGTGAACAAGCTGATGTCTAGCCAGGTAGCAGCTGTTTGCAAAAGATTTTGGACACAGTGAACACTGGTATGGTTTGTCATCTGAATGAACACTCTGATGCCTCAGGAGGTGAGAGTTAGAGGAGAATGATTTAGAACACAATGAACAGGGAAAAGGCTTCTCATCCTTATCCCTGTTTATGTTCACTTCTACATCATTCATTATTGAACAGTTGTGAACACTAAGACCATATACAACCCTCATACATAAAGTACAACCTGTGTTAGTACGGTACACTTTTGTTCACGACTGTAACTTTATACATGAGTTGTGTACTCACCTATATATGGTTGAAGGGGTCAAGTCACAGTTCCTGGCCCCACATACAACCTCAGACACAGCATCCTAAAGCATTATATGGTTTCTCTCTTATATAACTCCACATTAAAACATTCCCCCCAAAAAAGAATATAGTCACTGACTAATAACATTGTTCTTCATGAAATTAGTCACTGACTAATAACATTGTTCTTCATGAATTTTCACAATATCAAAATCTTCATAACATGCAAAATTGGAATAGTTTTTTATCCATTGTCAAAAGCATGTTTTCCATTCAATGTATTTTGAAAATAACATTATTTTCAACTTTACCGGACACTGGATAAATTTTAATTAAGTTCTAATCAACTTATCATTATTAATAATAATAAAGAATATGATAAATAAGTCAATCATTAAAGACAGCTTCTTATGTATACAGTATGATAGATTATGTATGGCATACATGAGGTATATATTAACTAAGATATATATTAGTTAAGACATATATTAGTTAAGACCTATATTAACTCAGACATATATTAGCTCAGACATATATTAACTCAGACATATATTAGCTCAGACATATATTAACTCAGACATATATTAGCTCAGACATATATTAGCTCAGACATATATTAACTCAGACATACAGGTGAATGCACTAAACTGGGATAATAAAGGAAAGAGGAAATAATTCCTTGAAATACAAAGTTCTCACAGCAAATAAGATTATTTTTACATGACTGAGAACTTTATTACACATACATGACTAACACAAAATAAAGTTCAACATTACTGCAATTAAATAGCTGAGTTTTATTAGGTTTTCAGTCAGTAAAAAAGTTCAACAGAGTAATGTTATCATCTGTCAAGTTTTAAATTCATTACTGGTTCAAATAATAAAGTTCTATTTATAAGTAAAACTTGAACTTTGCTGCTGCCTGTTCAGTGTTCCTCATGAACAAGAACACTTGAACTTAAGGTGATTTGTTGAATGTGAACAGTTAAGATCAGTGAACTTACTCAACGAACAAGGCTGAACTTAGAGTAGTCAGAAACTTGAGATGACCTTTATAACACTACATGTAAAATATTTCTAACAGTGAGGTGAACTTTTTTGGAACTTCTTGTTGATAACACTGACTGTCAGCAGTGTGTGATACTGAACTTACACTGTGATAACACTGTCAGCAGTTTTTGCTACTGAACGTCGTTGTAAAAGGTCTGTAAAAGAAAAAAATATGTTAAGGCAGATATACCAGGCAATGTTATAATGGAAGCAAAGCCTCTCCTCACTTAGCGACTTACTCGTTTACCGAAGACTCGGACTTACGATGGGCTCCCTGGCCAGAATGCATACTTAAATAATGAATATTAGAGCTGATTTCCTTTATTATGTTTATTACAATACAGTAGGGCCCCACTTACGTGGTAGGTTAGGTTCCAGGCTACTGCCGAAAAGCGGACATCGTCGGAAAGCAGTACACCATTTTTCTGACTTACAAATGCATATAAATGCCAGATAATTAGTTTACATTAACATATATTAAGTTAGCAATAGAACTAGGCATTAAAAAATAATAAAAAGTAAAATACACAAACAGTACACTCATTACTTACCTCAAAATATTTGAAGTCTTAATGTAGGGTGAGAGGTGAGTAGTATTTATTGTAAGAAGTCGGGTGTGGTAGGTATGGTAGCCCACCTGGACACCCCACCCACACCTAATATACTATGACATTTAAAGTGCCCTAAAGCGATAAAATGCATATACTGTGGACCCCTGGATAACGTAATTAATCCACTCCAGAGAGTGTGTCTTATACCGAATCTGACTTAATCCGAATTAATTTTCCCCATAAGAAATAATGGAAATCCAATTAATCCGTTCCAGACACCCAAAAGTATTAAACAAAATAATTTTTCTACATGAAATATACATTTCCCTACACAGAAAACAATGAGACATGTAGAGTAAAACATTACTAAAATGACACTTACCCCTATTGAAGACTTATTAACCCTTTGAGGGTCGACAGGCCCTCTCCGAGACTCGTTCTCAGGGTCGCCCAAATTTAAAAAAAAAAAAAAAAAATTTTATTATGAAAAGATAGAGAATCTTTTCCTGAGCATAATGACACAAAAAATATGAAATTTGATGGAAAACTTACGGAATTATGCTCTCACGAAGTTAGCGGTCTCGGCGATGTTTACGGATCGGCGATTTTGCCCAATTTGAGCCCCATTTTCGGCCAGTTCCACTGTACTAATCGACAAAAAGCATGAATATTTCGCTAGAACTCCATTTTTTCTATTGAATGAGTGCAAGAAACCACCCATTTACCAATTTCAACTATCCAGTACAGTGGTCAGAATTTAGCAATTTTGCCAATTTCACACAAATTTCAAAAGATGCCAATTTCCGAATAGGGTCCAGAACAAACAAGAAATACATTCCTGGCACTAAAATGACATTTCCTCTGTTCATTAGTCACGTCTCAAGGCCCCTCTTACATTCTTTTGCTTCCCACTTTGAATTTTTATTCTCACAAAAAATAGAAGATTTACTGTTACGCAGACTACTGCATTAGTGTAAAAAATGGTATGAATCATATTGGCGCACTTGCAAAAGAATATTAGACTCACCAGTTGACGTGTATTGGACGCTTGGCACGATTTGTTTACTTTTGAACTTTGGTAAAAATCGAACATTTCTGCTAGTTTGAGCTCAATTTCAAGGTACTTTTCTTTGTAAAACCAGTCAAAATCATCTCAATTTCTATGATATGCCTTCCATTCTATAAAATGAGACCAAGAAAACTAGAATACAACAATAAATACCATACGAAAATACAGTGCAAAGTTGCTGTTTTATTCCAAAAAAACGGTCAAAGTTTTTTTTTTCTCATTATGCACTGTGTGCTGCAGGATTTTTTTTATACTGTGCACACTGACCACATAGACCCATTCTTTCATATGGAGGCCTACCAGCTTTCTCCCACTAGATTTGAGGGCGCTAGAATTTAGGCGTACTAGTACGTCAAAAACCCTGGGTCGTAAGCCGTACTAGTACGTCCGAAACCCTCAAAGGGTTAATGACTGATGAGATGGGAGGAGGGGAGAGGATGGAGGTGTACTATTGTTTGGAAGGGGAATCCCTTTCCATAAAGACTTCAGGTACCAAGTCCTTGTCTGGGGTTACTTTCCTTTGTTTTTTAATGTCACTAGACTAGCTTCAGAGTCACTGAACCCCTGTTGCACAAAATATGTCCAGAGAGCTCTGTTACTGGTGTCCCTTTAAGATTTCCCTAAAGTGGGACACAACATTGTCACTGTAAATGTTGCCAGCACGGCCTGCAACAGTTGTGTCAGGGTGATGCTCATCCATAAATGTTTGCACATAAGAAAGCAGGAATACCGAAGCAGGCCTGTTGGCCCATACTAGGCATGTCCTTCACAACCCATCCCACTAACAGAATCATATTTGCCCAACCCAATTTTCAATGCTTCCCAAGCAATAAGCTTTTATAATTCTATTCACTCACGTGCAAGTCCCAATCAAATCAATTCGTGTGTGTGGGGAAGTACCCTGGCTGGTGTGTGTGGGGAAGTACCCTGGCTGGTGTGTGTGGGGAAGTACCCTGGCTAGTGTGTGGGGAAATACCCTGGCTAGTGTGTGGGGAAGTACCCTGGCTGTTGTGTGGGGAAGTACCCTGGCTGGTGTGTGGGGAAGTACCCTGGCGGTTGTACATAAGAAAGCAGGAACACTTCAGCAGACCTGTTGGCCCATACTACCACCCTCTACCACCACCATTTTCGTATCTTTCTACAAACTTTTTCTTGAATTCTATAGTGTTTCTCACCCTCTTTACCAAAGGGCTGGCACTAGAAGCTTTCTTTGGGCCCAAGGTGGCTTATTTAGCAGTTACAAGCACTAAAAATAATGGAATAATACAAAATGCATCGCATGTACGTGTGGAATCGTCCTCACTAGCTGGTAAACAATGGCACACTGGCTGTACATGGAGTGTCCTGGCCGCTCAAGGCGCACGGACACATTCAGGGTGAATGACTTTTACCAAGTTCAGTGTTGTTAACCGAGCCAATATTTTGACGCAAAAACGTTACCTAATCCAATTATTACTTAATCTGATGACGTCTTAATCTGGGGGTCCACTGTAGTGTACACTCATTACTTACCTTAAAATATTTGTAGTCTTAGTGGTCTTAATACAGGGTGAGAGGTGACTAGTATTTATTTGTAGAAAGTTAGGTGTGGGAGGTATGGTAGCCTGCCTAGCCAACCCACCCACACATAACATACTACGGCATTTAAAGCCCCACAGAGCGATAAAATGCAAATACAGTACACTCATTACTTACCTTAAAATATTTGTAGTTTTAATGTAGGGTGAGAGGTGAGTAAACAAGATAAAAATGAAGAAACAAAGAGAGAGAGAGAATTAGTAAATGAGAGAGGACATAGCCGCAGTGTGTGTAAACAAGCAGACAAACACGGCTGGTGGGTTGATACATGGTCATCTCAATATCTATAAAGCTTATATCATAATACAAACACCTTACATTGTGCACAAGTTGTCTCCACCTTGGTACAGTAGAATACATAAACAGCAACATTCCCATTCTCATGTAACACACCATTTTTAGAAGGTATGATGCTCTGAGTGAAGGCATACGAAAGGAATAATTTTATACACTTACCTCCATTAGTACTATTGTGTACACATTTTCTTTGCTGTTGAACTAGAGAAAAGGTTATTATTTCCGACACTCCAACAAGACGACTGGAAAAAATCTCATATTTATGTTAATTTATTCTATTGTGAATGTATTTATCATGTTTATATGTTATGTAGCATGTTTATTATATAATTTTGAAAAAAATATTATAGATGGATTAAGCAAAATGTCTATATTAACATTTTATATGACATTTAATGCACCTGAGTGATTATTATTGTGTGTTATTATCATTATTATTATTAACATGGCATCTTCAAAACTAATAAGACACTCTTAGTGATTTTAACATGTACCTGCACACCAGCACCGTGTGTAAGCTTATTTAGGTACAGGTATAGGGACGGCATTATGCCGCCCCTCCCCAACACACGTACCAAAGCACAAACACATACCATGAAAGATTATAATATATATATTTGCACACTTACTGAGGTTTAATACTTGGTGTTGCGTCCTTTACGCTGAATCACCTCCCTCAGCCATGTAGGAAGACTCTCACGCATATTCTTGAAGGTTTGGGGAGGCATATTATTCCATGCCTCATGTAGAGAAGCATCCAGCCATGGGATGGAACTGATATCCTTGCCCAGTAAGGTTCATTTCACATTTGAAAAGAGGTTCTCAATAGTGTTCAGGTCTGAGGAATTGCCTGGTCAGTCATTAAAGAATCTTATTTCACAGACCTTAAGCCACTGAACTACAAATCTGGTGGTATGACACAGTGCACCGTCCTGCATAAAATCCGTAGCCCCACACTTGTCAAATGCCTCAGGTAGACTGTCACACAATAACTCCAGGTAATCAGCCCGAAATGCTATGCATAGTATAAGTGGCTTTGGCATGCTGCTCTTATCTGTATTTTTTTGTACCTCTATATGTATGCTCAAATTGTAAATAAATAAATAAAATAAATAAATCATACTGGTTCATATACTGTTTTTTGGGAAGCACAATGAGTTCACCAACAGTCTGAGCACTGAAACATCCCCAAACCATTAGCGAGTCTAGGTGTTTGATGGTCCCACAGGTGTAGCGTGGGTCTACCGGGTCACTACCTCTGGGCTAGTACACATCCCCCACGGTTACAGGTGACGGTGAAGGTTGTTTCATCACTCCAAAGTACTTCAGACCACTGTTGAGGATTCCAGTGAAGATATTTCTTTGCATAATCCAGCCTACATTCCTTCTGTGGCTTGGAGAAGATCAGTGTCTTAACCTGGTGGTGACTACTGTAGCCTAGTTCTGACACATGTTTGTTAACAATTCTTACAGACACCTCTGAGAGAAGATGTGGATTCTTTTCTTTTGATTCTCTAGCAGTTATCTTAGGTGTACTCTCTAACAGCTTCTTTAACACAGTTAAGGTACAACAGATGTCTTCTTCGAAGGGCCAGGCTGAGGTTTGGCAGATGGTTAACTCAACACCGCCACCAGCCTTGAAACGCTGCACCCAGTTCCT